GGAGGGGAACATGTCTAAGGTTGCAGGGAGCATGCAAAGAAATCTGAGAAATGCACTTTTAAACTGATAAAAAATCTACGTTTACACTAAATTATGGGGGAGTTTACCAGTGGATCATATCCGCTGAAAAAACTTGGCTGGGGTTGAGAAAGAAGAAAAAAAGACAACCAAAAAAATGAAGTCCGTGAAAAGTAAAAACAGTGCCAAAGTATAGTCTAAAGACAATAACAAAAATGGGCAGCAGTATCTGCGTGGGACTAGGAGGGGGAAATTTAATAGTGGTGGACGTGAATAGTAGCCTACATTGGAGAGGCTCAGTTTTTGTATCGCTTAAGGAAAGAAGCATGAATAGCACTGTCGTTTCATACACACTCAAAACACAGGTCATAGGCGTATGTAAACATGTGAAAGTTATATAGACACGCTCAAAACATATCAAAACATACATATTATTAAATATCAAACACTTCCAAATGACCAACACACACGAATCGGCTCTATATATCAGCATTTTTCAAGTACGTGTTTTTACTCCTCTGTCGACACATTTCAGATCATTTAGGAGGCGGGCTTTCGGCCCTTTCAGTGAGAGCCAACCCGGGCTGAGGGGGGATACGACATGTCAGCACCGACTTTAATACATAAAACTGTCCAACCTGTCCATTACGACCACCCACTGTCAAAGAAAAACGTGGTCAGTTTACAAAAGTGGTCCTCCTGAACAGTGTCATTACATTTTTTTTTTTAAACATAGGGGGGTGTGTGTGTGGGTCGCTTGCACAGATGATTGTTTTTCATGGACACTGTCAATATAGGGAATAAAACGCTAGGGCAGGGGGGGTGGCAGTGGTCCCTTGTACAGGTGATTGTCTTGAACAGGTGGTCGTTAGAGCAGGTTCGACTGTATATAATATATATTTGTAAAGGGAGGGTGTGAGGAGGATGAGTACACAAGGGTGTTTGTATGAGGAGACTCACGGGCGCTCGTGGCCTGGTGAAGGTGTGTGAATGTCTTGAGTGTAAGATTGTGAGTGTATGCGTGAGTAATTGCACGTGTGTGTGTGTGTGTGTGTGTG